TATATAGGTTTTAAGCATATAAAAAAATCGTAAGGACACAAAAAATTACTTTTTAAGAAAAAAGTCAATTCAAAAATCACGTTTTTTTTGTTTATTTTCGATTTTTCTATGCTTTAATATTTTCGGAGGTATTTTTAACCAACACCATCGAAAAGCATCGTTAAAAACATAGAAACACTGGTTATCGAATATTTTTTCGTCGCACTCATTACATGACAAGGGTTCAAATGGAAATGTGTTCTCTGAGCATTTATGGGTTAATGTGACGTGGTATAAACCATATGAATATCGTTTTCTATTACTTTTAAGACAATTACGAAAAATATTAACAATTTAAGAAAAAAACTTTTCAAAAAGAAAATTTCGCAGACCTGTGTAATTAATTTGATAACACGATGAGAACGAGGAACTATTATAGGGTATTTTTGTTCGTAAGAAATAGGAGCGTGCTTTAATCTACGGCCGACTCTTAGAATGCCATCAGAATCTAGGAATGGGTTAAGTAACGGAAGTCTACTACGACTATTTATTTCCCTACTCTGCTTTAAGCAATTCATGTCGTTAGAAAATTGTTCTAATTGAACTAATAACACTATTTTATTCATAGTCTGTTGAAGTTCATGACATGTTAGTTCACCGTATTACCTTTCCTTATGTAACGAATTGGTAATGAATCGAAAACAGTATGCTATAATACGCTGCAATTTTATTAATGATGATAGCGGCTGAAAATACCAAGATCTAGACCTTTAGTTGTAAGACTGTAGAAAGGGTGTTGCTGGCCAAAATTCTTTATTCAGTGATAACCATGTTGGACCGGTCAGCCAAACTTCGTTTTTTATGAAATCCGCAATTTGCCCTCGGGAAATGAAGTCCGCAGGGTTATCACCCGACGTTACATGAGCCCAATCTTCAGGTAGTTTGGAATCTCTAATTTTTGAAACGCGATTAGCTACAAATGTTTTTAGAACATAAGGTTCTGTCCTTGATATCGAATCGAGTATTGGTTACCAATTTATCCCTAAAGTCTCCACAGTAGATACATTTAAAGAAACAATATCGTTTGCGGATCCCTTAATACTTTTTATAAGACTAGGTTCGTTTGATGATCATTTTTATAAATTAAATTTACCTAAACTCGTTAAATTTAATAATTGATCACGGAGTTGACTGGCTTCTTTAAGAGTCTGAGCGCCTGTAAGAAGATCGTCTACATAAAAGTCATGTGTAAGGGCCGCCGCCGCTAAAGGAAACCGTGTTCCTTTATCATTCGCCAGTTGATGTAAGCAACGAATTGCGAGGAATGGCGCTGATGATGTCCCGTACGTTACCGTATCAAGTTTATACTTTAATAGGTTCATTTTGCGAACTGCGCCAAAGAATTTTTTGATAACTTGCATCATCGGGATGCACGCGTATCTGCCGATACATTTTCTCAATATCAGCTGTTAAAATGTATTTGTGTAACCTAAAGCGAATTAATATAGAAAATAGATTGTCTTGTATTGTAGCTCCTACCATTAGCGTATTGTTTAGTGAGATGCCACTACTCGTTTTCGCTGATCCGTCAAATACTATTCTTACCTCTGTAGTTAAACTAGACTCCTTAATAACTGCGTGGTATGGTAATGTGGGAACACTCGGTATAGCGAAAAATATTTATTGTGTGTATCAATCAAGCGTCTACATTTGTGCTGACTTAGTTAGGTCGCGACACACTGCGACTAACTGGGTCAACAGCAAATACACACACAAACGTATTGTGCTGAAATGTTCCTCACCATATAAAACCATGTAAATAATTTAGTATAAATAGCCTGTAAATATTCAATAAAATTAGTCTAACACCAGGCTCACTCTTATTCTGATGCTGATAAAGTGTCAACCCTTGGGATCATCAAAGATGCAGATAATGTGTCCAACGGTATTACTAAATCGGTTCTTCTCAGAACCACAACTTTGATAGTCACATCTCTCATCATATACGACTACAGAGAGTGGCTACAGTAAGAAATAGCCTTCTGTATATTTAGAATCATTTGTGACCTCTGATATATGACCTAATGCTAAATACTCGTGGAGAAACACCGCATACTGTGCCTTAAGTTCTATATTTCTAAATCTGTTTAGAGCTGTATTATAAGATTCCCCTAAAACTTGCTTTTGTTCGTTGAATGACAATCTTACAACGTAACGTCCCGTTGGTTCGCATATGGTATTTGCGATAGTGTTGTTTACAAGCTTTTTCTTCTTGCGACCAATGTACTGAAGGTCCAACCTCTTCGATTTCCCAAAATCTTTTCAGCTGATCGTCTAAAGACGTATTGGAAACGCAACACAATGTCTGTTTGGGGTTCTCAACGTTACTCCTTACTGAACCCGAAATTACCCAACCGAACACTGCTTTTTGAAGAATAGCAGAATTATTCGCAAGTTTAATTTGACCTTTACTAAGTAATTTATAGAACAATTAAGCTCCGATTAGGGCATCTATTTCCGATGGCTTGTAGAAATCTGAATCAACGAGTGTAGCATTTGCTGGTATCAATAAAGTAGTGGGATTGATCTGACTTGATGGAAGGTAATCCGTAATTTTTGGTATCACCAAGAACGCTGTTTTTGTTGAAAAGCTAGTAGCTTTCGATTGAATGGTAGCCTGAACAGAAAAGTTAATGTTTGTACTTTGTTGATTCAGCCCTAGAACTGGCATATTAATTACACGTTTTTGTAATTGTAACATATTCGCCAACCTTTCGGTAATAAAATTAGACTGAGATGCTGAGTCAAGCAAAACCCTACATTCGCGCCTATTGCTATGTTGATCAAAAATGTAGATACGAGCGGTAGATAACAAAACTTCAGATGAAGTGCTCGTGTTTAGCGTTACTGGAGCCACTTCTGTAGAGGAACCGTTTTTTGAACCTTCAACAACCTGATTTAATTTGTCTGATGAACTTTGCTGATGCAAAAGAGTATTGTGTCGCCTATTGCAGATTTGGCAACCACGAGATAAACAACGATTTACTACGTGTCCTGTTCGCAAACAATTATAACACAAATTTGCCCGTTTTACTGCTTCTGACCTTTCGATAACTGAAAGCCCTTTAAATTTGTTACATTGATATATGTTGTGATCACCTTTACATACCGAACATGATTTACCTGATTGTGTGCCGACGTAAGCGTGCTTATGTTTTGTGCCTATTTTTTCGCGAATTTCATTACATTTGCTTCGAGATTGAACAGGTTCGTTAGAAAGATCATCTTCGCGGGAGAATTTATTTAGAAATTGCAATAATTCCTCAAAAGTAGGCAAAGAACTATCTTCTAGTGAACGATCCCAACTACGACGCGTGTTTTTGTCTAACTTTGTTGATAAGATGTAAACAAGAATTTCGTTCCAATGTTCGACAGGTACCTTTAGCGATTTTAACGCATTTACGTGCATTTCAGCTGATAAAATTAAAGTTCGTATTGCTGAAGGTGATTCTTTAATTATTGGCGATAATTCTAAAAATGCTCGTAAATGACTTTGAATAATTTTACGTGGTTGATTACATCGTTTTTCCAACATTGACCATGCGACTAAATAATTTTCTGCCGACGCGTTTAAAGTATTGATTACCGTCGCAGCTTCGCCTTGTAATGAAGCCTTCAAATAATGAAATTTTTGAACATTAATGATATTCTCGTTTTCATGGACAAGTGATCTAAATGTATCGCTAAAACTTCGCCATTGAGTAAGATCACCGTCAAATGTAGGCAATTGAATTTTGGGTAACATTAATGAAGTATCTTTGCGATCCTGAAATGAACTTGATGCTATATTTGTGTCTGACAATGAACATGATGACCTAGAGGAACTACTTAGTAATCTCCTGATTTTTTCAGCGCACTCATAATATCTTTCCTCAAACTCTATTGTTTCGATACTATCATCTACATCTGTATCTTCCGCCAATTCGATTTCTAATTGAACGTTTTGGAAACTGTTAAAAATTCTATCCAAATTGGCCTTTCGGACATGAATTGGATTAAGATCAACACCATTAAACTCTAGTAAAAAGTTATTGAGTCTAGTTAGTTGTGCTTTAAGTATGCTACGTTGTTTTTTAAGCTGTTTTAACTGATCAGCCATTTTGAATAATTTGAAATTGAAGCAACGTTTGGGAAGTATAATGATAATTTAATAAAGGAAAGACGATTCAAAAACTCACCCTCTGCTTTCCACAATATGTATGCGAACGCCCCTGATCTTCTGATTCTATGATTGTTGTTTGAATTCCAAAATCCACCGATGCGATGATTGTTGTATAGTGTATATGATGTAATTCACTGTTCCGGTTACGGATGCGTCGTGAATTCCTTCTGAAGATACTCGAATTCTGTACCAAATTTTCGTACACATGCTGGTGCAATGTTGAATTTGGATTTTTGATGCACAATCCTTGCTTTTTGTTTAATTCGGTTCGCGAAACACAATGCCCTTGAACTAAAACTCGCGACCGACGAATGTTCAAAACTATCCGGCTCGAAGGACCATATGTTTAGGCGTGAACCAATTTTTGTAAAACAGTGGCAAAATTAATTTTGTGTGACTAGTTCAAATATGATGTTGAAATAAAAATGCTGCAGTAACGAATAAACGAATTTATGTACAAAAACTTAAACTAACGAGAACAAAGCAAGTTGTGTTATACAGAATCTCAAAAGTGACTTGACTTGTCTTTTTTTTTTTGTTTAGATTATGCTCGAGGAGGGGAAATCTTCAAAAGACACCCCCTGAATGGGGGGTAGTGTCGGATTTTTACCGACTAAAACCCCTCCTCGAGCGGGGAGATAAACCCTGTGGGTTTTTCATCCCAGGGAGACAAGTGGAAAGCTGGGGATTAGGGATAGGGTTGGGATGGGAAATCGGCTAAAAGTGTTGGTGGACGGGAGTATTGGGGAGGAAACGGGAGTAGGTGGTCTACCTCTGATGTGGTGGGTGGACACTCGCGCTAAAAAGCGAAACTAGCAATTAAATTGAGCGGGAGAGGGCGGCTCATTGTAGAAGGTGACAGCGCCTTCTGAAACGGTCGTTGGGTTTCGGTGCGAAGTTGGAGAGTGCCGAGATGGTGGGGTTTGGGTGGCCTGACACTGAGGCCCGAAGATTTGCCGCGAATGTGATTGCAGCCTCGGGGAGAGAAGTTAGACCGGTTTCAATCAGAATTTGGGTGTTCTTGACGAACCACGGGTAGTTAAGTTCGGAGCGAAGAATCCGCATGTATGTACCTTGTAAGGGTTTTAGGCGATGGGGAAGGGCGCAGCCCCAGACGGGAATGGCATAGGAGCAAATGTTCCTGATAATTGCGTTAAACGCACGGATTTTGGCCTGTTGGGAGATGGTGTTGTTTTGAAAGAAAGGTTTAAGTGCGATGAATGCACCCAGAGCCTTATTGCGTGTCGCTTTGATGTGGGGCCGCCAGTTTAGGCATCTGTTTAAAACGACGCCAAGGTACGTGACAGAGGTGCTCCATTTGATGGGGCGGTTGTTGACAATAATGGAGGGAGGTTTTCGGAGTCTACGGGAAAAGAAAATTGCCTCCGATTTGGTCTCGTTAATGGAAAGTTTCCATTTCCGATACCAGTTTAGGAGCTGGGGTAGAAACCTATTGATTCTTGCCGTGCATTGGAGAATGGTACTTGAAGAGTTTATGATAGCAATGTCATCGGCGTACAGGGCAGTCAGAATTGAAGTGTGGGAGGGGATGTCCGCGCAAAACAGGTTGAACAGAATAGGGGATAGTTTGGAGCCTTATGGGACACCGGCTGTGACTGGTTTACTGGTAGAAAGAGCAGAGCCAACGCGGACCCGAAGGACCTGATAACCCCAACTAGAAAGTGTGGGATGTTAAGGGCGATGAGTTTGGAAATGAGACCTTCGTGCCAGACTCGGTCGAAGGCTTGTTGGACGTCAAGAAGAAGCATGGAAGTGTGACGCCGCTTGTTGAGGTTGTCGGAGATGTGTTCAGTAACACGAAGAAGTTGGTGTCCGGTGCCGTGTTGCCTGCGGAAACCGTGTTGAAAATCAGGGAGAAGGTTGTTTTGCTCCACGTGGTCTAAGAGCCGAGCGAGAAGGACGGATTCTACTACTTTGCTCAGCGAACTGAGCAGGCTGATGGGCCTGTAGCTTGAGGGAGAGCTGAGCGGCTTCCCTTTTTTGGGGAGACAGATGACAGTGGCTTCTTTCCAGACCAAAGGAAAGTGGTGGAGCCGCATGATGGCGTTTGTGATGTTGCACAGTGCGGTTATGTGCTTTGGTGGCAGGACTTTAAGGACTCCGTTAGCAATTCCGTCAGCGCCAGGGGCTTTTCTCTTTTTTAGAGAGCGGATAATGAGAAAGATTTCTCGTGGGGACGTGTGTTTGAAGTCGGAATTTAGGGGAACGAAGTTCTGGGAGACGGCTTTGGTACGCTCGTGAAAGTCGGCAAGATCCACTGGGCTTGGTAGTGGGGAGCACTGGAGACACAAAGAGTCTGCGAAGATTGCAGCTTTTTCTTCGTCTGAGGAATAGGTGGAGCCGTTCTGTTTAAGGGGCGGAAGATGGGGAGCTCTGTTACGAAGGGAACGGATCACTTTCCAGGTGCTTCGTGGATGTTTTTCTGCCTGAGCGATATAGTCGTCGAAGGATGCGCTGCGGAATTCGGTTAGACGAGTTTTCAGTTCTCGTTGAAGGGCGTTTACCTCTGCACGTTGGGCGGGGACGCGGTATTTATTCCACAGACGTCGGGCCTTGTTTTTCCTCTTAAGGAGGTCAAGGATGTCTGCTGGGAGGGTTCTGTCTTTGGTGGGCGTTGGGCGGGAGGTAGTGGAGAGCTCGACTGCGCTGGTAATCTCGTTTGACAGGAGATTCATAGCTTCGTCGAGTTCCGCTATTGTGCGAATTGGAGTGCACTTGAATGATGATTTTTCCAGGGTGTAACGAAGGTGCAACCAGTCTAGTGACGTGGTTGGGTTAGGGGGGTTGAGGATTGGGCGGCCGACTTCAATAAGGGCTGGGAGATGATCCGAGCTCAATGCGTCTAAGACGATAGGATCGGCGGAAAGTGTGACATTTTTCGTGACGAAAATGTCAAGAATATCAGGGGATTGATGGTGGGGGGTAGGGAGGAATGTGGGGTCAGATCGTGCTTCAACTGTGAGGTTGAACTGAAGAATTTTGGCTAGAAGGGAGTTGCCTTTATTGTTTGTTTGTCGACAGCCCTAAGAGACGTGTTTAGCGTTGAAGTCGCCTGCAACGATGGTCGGAGCGCCTGGGGGGAGTAGAAGGGGGAGTTCAGAAAGGTCTCTGTCCGAAGGGAGGAGTAGAGAGAAATAACCCTAAGAGGACCGGAGGTTGGTGAAACTCCGATGCCTACTGTTTCTAAAGAGTTTGTGGCCAAAGAGATAGGCCTGTATTTTAATGAGTTCCTAACTAGTATGGCGACACCGCCGGCACTGCGGTTTTCACGGTTACTTATGTAGGAAGAGAAGTTCGGGACGAACAGTTTGATTTTTTCGGACAGGTGATGCAGGCAACACCGATTGACTTATCCTCGAGGAAGTGTTCGAGTTCAGTCAATTTGGTTGGATGTGGTTACGGCCGCAGAATGCGCAGACCCAGGCTGCGTGACAGTAGTTGGCTGTATGGAAAAACTTCATACAGCGGCGGCATTGGGGAACATCCTTAGTTGCCTTTTTCGGCTCAACTTTGATGTTGAGGCCGCAGAGTTTACCAAGGTCGAAAATTGCCTTGGAGTTTGAGGCGGTCTTGTCAAGACAGACGGAGACAAGGGGCCAGATTTTATTACCTTTGGACATACGGTGTGTGCCTTTGATAATAAAGCCTTTGTGGCTTAGTTCGGACTCGATGTCCTCTGTTGGGATGTCTTCGCAGACACCGCGGATAACTACATGGAGGTCACGGTCCTGCTGTAGCTGGTTAGTAGAAAATTGGACTTTGGATTCGTCCAAGAAAAAGGATAGACGACGAAAATCGTCGATAGAGTTCGGGTAGACTCGAATTGAGTCTTTGGTGTTTACGGACCTACGGGCGGTGATGCCGTGACAGCCAAAGGGACTTCTGTCGTATGACGATTGGTGGTGGAGACTTTTGGCTTGGACTTGGTTCTAAGTTCGATTCGTTGTCGGAGGAAGAGGAAGATGACTCGGACGAAGACAGAAAAGGCTGTTGTCGGCGGCGCTTGTTAGCGCGTTTGCCGGCTTTTACGAAGTCGTCGTTTTCTCGGCGGTCCGTGTGCGGTAGACGGGTAGCGGCAATTGTTACCGGGCACACGTGCGGTGTGTGGCGTAGTAACGGCCGGCTAGCCATAGCGGCTGAACACCTCTTCCTCCAGGTATTCCAAGATTGCCTTCGTTGGAGTGTTTGGGACCGCTTTGGCTTCTACCCATCGAGAGAATAAGTCCGTTGCAACGATGACGTATCTGTTGTTGGGCGTGGAGGTAGGGTACGGTCCCATTATGTCCACCGCTACAGTTTCCCAGGGCCGTCGGGGTGTCCTTGGCCGTAGCGTTGCAGTTTTCTGGCGGATGCCTGACTTAGTGCAGGCGCAGATGAGGCATCCCTTCACATACCGGCGGACGTCCTTGGGCAGCGTCGGCCAGTGGTACTGGATGGCGCGGAACGTCTCGTCGCTTCCTGGGTGGCCAGCGTCGGGGTGGTCGTGGAAGAAGTGGAGGACGTGTTGTTGTAGGGCCTCTGGTACTACGTGTAGGTCCCGGTTGTCCTTTCGCCGGTTAAGGAGGCCGTTCCTTACTATGTAGTACTCACGGAAGCCTCTTTCGCCAGGGACCATCGGGTGAACTTGGCCTTCTCGTCCCGTGCTTTCTGGAGCCAGAGCAACCCGCGATTTTCCGTCCGGAGGATAAATGGCTTCTCCTCGAGATACGGCCGATACTTCTTGGTGGCCCAGACCACGGCCAAACACTCTAGCTCGTTGCTATGGTACCGACGTTCGGCAGGGCTGAGTCGAGTGCTGGCGAACGAGACCACATGTCGTTGGCCATCCTGGTCCTCCTGGTATAAGACGGCCGCGAGCCCCGTATAGCTGGCGTCGGTCTGGATCACGTAGATCAGTTCCGGATTGGGTCGGGATAGGCGGAGGGGCTGCGAGAGTGCGTCCTTCAGCTGGAGGAACGCCTGGTTAGCCTTCGGGTCCCATCTCCACTTTTCCTTGGCTGAGAGCAGGTCAGTCAACGGAGCGGTGATTTCCGCG